AATGGCAGTAGAAATTTTCGATTCTGTGCACATTTTTTTTAACCTCTCGCACGAATACAATGCTTCCCTACCTTCGGTACTGAGGAAGCAAAATGGGTTCAGCCCATTTCATTCTGATATGCGATATCTGATACAGAGCTATGTAGATGAAGTCTGGTACTTCAATGGTCCGCTGACTTTGCCCAGTAACCAGTTTAGGATTCGGCGATTTACCGGAAGCAGTTTTTAACAAGTCTATATTACTAACATTGCTCCTAATTATTATAATCGTTAGCATAGTATTCAGTATCGAGTTAGCATTTCACCATTCATGAATTTTACTTTCTAAATTTCCACTCGCCGGAGTCAAACCAGTTCTATAATTATAGTTGCTATTAACCCATAGTTGGTCGAAGGTCCTGAATTTGGATCTCAATATCTTATAATCGCTCTATTACTGTTTTTTCCGGCTATTAATTTCCTAGGTCCCACCTGGTCCGCGAAGACGAGGAATGCGCCTCAGATCGCTCACGAAGGACCCGTTCGAACGCCGCTGACCGCTACCAGGTGTCGCTGAGATCCCAGCCCGATAACATCGGCTTCCAGATGCAAACCACTCGACAGATGTTTCCGGTTTGATATGTGCTGCTTCTTTCCCGAAATTAATTTCCGCTTTCTGTCATCTTGTAGGTAGGGGCTTTTTCTTAAGTAAATGCCGAGAGTAAAGTTAGGCCATTGTCTGCATAGTCGGCGTTTATATCGAGTTAACCAATACTTTATGATTGTTTGGGATGACAGTACTTTAATTTGTACCAGTCATTTTAACACTTTATTAAATAAAGATTATTTAGATTAATTTTGGTCTAGTAATATAATATAAGTGCGTTATAGATTTTTAAAAAATAGTCTTTAAATAACTGTACCCCCATACCAGACTGAAACTATTAGAAACAGCCCGACGTTTTCGGCTACTATAGCAATTACTAGACAAAAGCTCTAAACTTCCATCCATTTACAAAATACTCATATATATTACTATAATAAGGCCTATTTGGACTTACGGGATCGAGCTTTGGGGCTCTACTAAACCATCATATTCCTCTCGTATCCAGTCCTTACAATCCAAAATCCTTCGTAAAATCCTCAATGCTCCCTACTTTGTCACAACTAAAATCGTCGATAACGACCTTAATGTACCATATATTTCCGATTTAGCTCAATCTAGATACTTATCCTTCCATGATAAACTTCTGAACCCTCTTGTTTCCAACCTTGCTTCCTCTTCTATTCCCGATAATCCTCCGAGGCTTCTGAAAACAACATGGCCTGGGGTCCTTCTAATATAGAAATATAATTGGAGTACTCCCAATGGTTAGTTTCTTTTCATGTAGTATATGTCATGTTACATGTTTCATATTTACTTGTTGTATTTATCATTTAATACAGTTGTTAATTTCAATAATAATAAAAAAAAAACTGTTATTTTTATTTTCGAAACTTTAGTTTTTTAAAATGTACTCTCAAACCAATTGTTTTAATCACGTCCATTTTTACGAGATTGATAATTCATCTCTTAGGCGCAGATTGCGGGAGAGGGATATCCACTTCAATAAAAATAGAGAGGGGTGAAAATATCTTTTCGTCTCCTTCCCCCTATATTTCAATGAACAAAAATCAAATAAAAATCAATAACAATTAATCTACACGAATGAATAAAATGTGTTAGCTAAAATCAATTAAGTTAATGAGGAAAGTCCTTCCTATTATTGAAATTTTAGTTTTTATTCAAAGATTCAAATGTAGCAACATACCCTAGAATTTTATGATTCATTTATGTCCACCCTTCCATTGTTATGTGAAGATTTTGAAGATCACATTTCCCGGAGCAATTTGAAGCATAGGATAATTGAGAATTCATCGGACTGCTTCAAATCTTTCAATAAAAATAAAAAAATGTAATATATTCAAATATTTTGTCTAGATATTTGAAAAAATGTTTTTTCATACTCAAACAAAAATGTATAAGTAGTATTATATTATTCGTTTTACAATAATTATGTTGATTATAACTCATAATTTTATACGTAATACAAACTTCGAGACTTTTTTGGGGGTCCATCGTACCTCCCTCCCCCTCTCCCGATCAAAATGGAAATTCTGCGTCTATGATTCAACTTAGTAGTATCCAGTGCGTAGATACCACTGACTCCAGGCTTAAGAATAACCCCTTACGAGTCGTGTTGCCCAAAATCGGTCTTGGTCTTGCAAAGTGCAAGACCAAGACCAAGGCTGATTAACTATTGCAAGACGAAGACCAGGACTGGTAAAAAAAAAATCAATTTTTTGAATAAAAATTATATTATTTTTTTAAAAAGGCAAAATAGTTACTAATATTTGACAAATTTAGTTACTGTTAGTAGAGAATTGGTATAACCTATATACTTTTGAATTTAACTCCTCTAATTTTCCATCCTGGCTTAGTTAGGTTTCTCCTATCTAAAAAATTACAGTAATATCTCTATAGTAATAAGCTAATAAGTAACTGCAAGACTCGTCTCGGTCTCGCATTTGGGCAACACTACGTACGAGATACGTATCTGGAAGATTCATTATTCAAGCTGCTACAATTGTAGCTAGCGCAAGATAGTTCCTTTCTGGAGGATTATGTTAGTTGTAATAATCGAAAAAAAAATTAACATCTCTGAAATTTGCAATTCACTGCCTTTATTGAATGTTATGAACGCGGAATGTTGAACATTATTAAATAGTTTATTTATGGAAAGAATCTTCTATCCCAACGCTGTTGTCCGCAGTTACACTGGCAAAATATGATATCAGTGCTTTAGACACCTGGTATTCATCTTTTGCCAAACAAATTAATTTATTTCTTAAATGTTTTTTATATTAAGTGTTATTTGAATTTTGTTTTATTGGAGTTTCTTAAAATAAAATCTAATTTTTCATATTTTATCAATTGGTTCTCTTATATTTCTTTATCTTAGCCATTATCTTATAATTGATTTTTCCTAGCCAATAATTGCGTATATATTGGCTTAGGTCTCAGTATCTAATCACACTGTTTATTGTTACTATTTATTTTTTACATATACCGACGTTTCGACCTGAAGTTCAGGCCTTCATTAGAATATTCTCCCTGCGACGCTTAAGGAGACAGCCCTGATGAAGGCCTGAACTTCAGGTCGAAACGTCGGCATATGTAAAAAATAAATATTAACATTTATTTTTGCCTTCCTTTTTGACTGACCACCCCAACTATTCTTCTCTTCATTATCCACGACAGTCAACCAATTACCAATTATGTTTATTGTTACTCTATGGATGTAACGTTATTAACTTATTGACTGATGTACCCAAATGAAATTGCTCAGTAATAAGTCAGTACCAGTAATAAGTCCCTCGGAGGCGCGCGTGCACCTGTACAGTGGTACACCTGTTGGAACAGATGGAACGAAAACGATCCAAGCTGTCGCCGTTACATCTGGTTATCTAGTGACTTATCTCGTCCACGTTCCTTTATCATCTGTTTGATAAAGGTTAATTGGGAGTTTATGCAAGTTTGAAAAATGTCATGTGACTTAATATTGTATTTATTCAATAAAGAGATATATATCTACTTCGAATATTGCTATCGTTGTCTATTATAAGTTTATTAATTTTTTACCATTATGCTATTAATTGCCTCATTTTTGATACAGGATTCAAAGAAATTCATTTTTGATATTATAACTTCAACTTTATTAGCTAGAGGAAAAATGTCAATTGGCCGAGAATTTTTTTTTCAGGTATGCATCAATGTATTAGTTTTATTAGTTTTAGCATCTGCTTTGTTAAAAAAAAATTTAAATAAATAAAACATATATTTTAAAAAATCATTCGACTTCGTTCCCTTTTTGTAGGGAAAAAATCCTCTCAAAGTGGAATATAGAAGTCAAGCTGTCCATTGTAATACGGTTGGTTCATTATATCAAAACCAACTGGGGTGAATGCACCAGTTATGGACAGGAGAGCCAGTGATCGACAGGTTGGACTTTAAATGTAAAAAATGAACTTCCTTGTTGATTTGAAAATTCCAGTTCTTTTCTAGATTGAATAACAAAGCCCTCTATTGACATCTGTATGAACAAAGTTCCCCCAAAAAAATTTAAAATGCTTATTGCATTTTCTCCGAAACTACTGGACCGATTTTTTTTCAAATTTTGATATAAAATCAGAGGTCACCCGAGGATGATCCTCCTTCATCAACATTACTCTCCGCCTTTACCTTTCAAAATGGCGGCCGAAAAACCTGCGTTGCTATAGACTGTAACTCCTAAAAGAATGTACAGATTTCAATGAAACTTCGCTAAAGTCATTTTCTTGACACCCTTTAAATTTATCTATATGACATACTTCAACGAAAAGAAGCTGGAAAAAAAGTTACGAGGGATGGTAAAATTAAATTCCGAATAACTCGAAAAGTTTTTACTTTTTCGTTGATATTGTATGGTTTTTTAGTAGTTTACCGAATTTCCTAAAAAAAAAAAAAGAAAAAAATCGTTAAAATCGGACAGTTCGGAGGAAAGATATGGATGGTCTCTAGTTTTTTTTAATATGTTCTACTGCAAAGGTTATATCCTTTGTTTTGGTTTTTTGAATTTTGAATGTGTTACTGAAGTAATGCTATTTTTTTTTTTTTTTTTAGCATATTAATAATGATTAAAGAAAAACAGTTTAGTCCAATAATTGGAATCAGCTTTTGTTTTTTTTTTCCTTGTAAGCAGGAAGGTAATGTTACTTTAGATGTGTAATTGTTTGGAAATAATAAACCATTGTGAAATAATTTGCAGTGTTTTTTTTTAGTTCAGTTCACTCAAAAAAACAAATATGGATCAATGAAATGAAAATATTATTTTTTTCCACGGCGATAGGGAAGAGTGTTTCAGACTAAAAGCCCCCTCTCCTAGTCCTTCCTTCCACACTGGATCGGATGGTGGCTAATGGTGAAGATAATCTTAAAAATTATGGCAAAATATGACGTGCCGGGTGAAGCTAAACAAAAGAGGCTTAGTACGCTGCTGCAGACATCATGTTACTCCTGTCGTTGCCTTCCTCGGAACAAAGACCAGGATGTCGGTCGCCTCCCGCCTCCTCCCAGCCAGCGATCTCACGATGTCCTGGTAAAAACTAAAAAGCCAACAAAAGCGCTGTTATTGTTTCCCAGAAGAGGGCGATCCGCATCCTGTGGCCTGCAGTTTTTGCCCCGGCCGACAGAGGCGGTGACACATGGGGTGGCGATCGGTGAGGCTGTGGGGGGCAGCGACGTGGCGCCATGTGCCTGCCAGATGAAGGGAGTGGCACCTGTGCCACCGCAGGCTGGCTAATAGCCACTAACTGCCCTCTTCTCATTATTGCTACTAATGCTTCTCAGCTCCTCTGCTCTGGTGGCTCGCCTTCCCTAAGATATAGTCCAAGGTTCTAACTCCTTTTTTCAGGTTAAGCTCTTTATTAATTTTCGAATCATCGTAATCTATGTAGCTGGATAAAAGGAACACTTCACTTATTTATTGAAGTAAATAATAAATGATGTCTAATATATAAAGCAAACTAGATAGATAGAAATTTACTATTTTTGGGGGGAGCGGGAGGTTCCCCATACAAATAGAGCCTAGCTTGGCTATTGTAGAATAATATGATTTTACAAGTTATATACATTTCATTTAAAAATAAATAAAATTTACAATATTTTACGTGTAGAATGGGTTTTACAACACATGAATAACAATATAAATTAAAAAAAAAATCTGGTGTGTTGACTCACACGACTTTCCTATCTATTTCAAAAAGTTTTTATATCTTTACATATGTTCATGAAGAAACAAAAAAAAGAATTGAACATGATACATTTTCCTGAAAATTAATCAAACATAAGATTTGAGTACGATTTATTTGATAAACTAGAGCAATGTAAACCGGCTTAAGATAGCTTAGTTTGAAAATTTCAATACTTCCTAATATTGCTGATCACAAACTTTTTGGCATAGCTTAGTATTGACAAACAATAATTTATGTTGAAAGTATAGGAAATAGTGAAGGTTGTGTGATGCCGGAAACAGATTTTCTTACTTTCACTTAGTCATCTTTATTCTCTCATTCACGTATGGTATGGGGTATTCCTGGGCCAACCAAACAGTAGCTTTAAAAATTTTAATACAGAAAACTCCGGGATGAATTTTACTTTAAAAATTCATCCCGGAAGACGAGCTCCTCAATGAGTAAGATACTTTTCTCTATTCTTCTTATCACGGTCTCGAGTCCGGTTGTGACAGTTAATTAAAAATTAGAGCATTACTTCAGTAACACATTCAAAAACCAAAACAAAGGATATGTATAACCTTTGCAGCAGAACATATAAAAAACAAAATATAGATACCATATCTTTGATCCTAATTGTCCGATTTTATTTGTTTTTTTAGGAAATTAGGTAAACTTTTAAAAAACTATTTAGGAAATTTAAATACCTTGGAAACATCTTATCACAATATCAACAAAAAAGTGTATACTTTTTGAGTTATTCAGAATATAATTGTACCATCCTTCGTAACTTTTTTCCCAGCTTCTTTTCGTTGAAGTATGTTATATAAATAAATTTAAAGGGCGTCGAGAAAATGGCTATACCAGACCTTCATTTAAATCGGTAAATTCGTTTAGACGCTACAGTCTATGGCCACGTAGGTTTTTCGGCCGCCATTTTGAAAGTAAAACGCGGATAGATTTTATATCCAAATTTGAAAAAAATCGGTCCAGTAGTTTCGGAGAAAATGCGTGGACGGCGGACGGACAAACAATTTTTTATTCGTTTTTCGAATTTTACGTATTCTGAAACGTAAAACCTCAAATTTTGAGAGAGGGTTAAGTTTTTTAATTTTTTGGTCGATCACAATGGTTCATTATTGAAAATAATAAACCAAAAAAAAAAAGACAATAATTGAAAATGGCCACGTTCCTAACCGAAAAGTTACAAAAACTATATAAACTAAAATGAAATGATGTTAATATGAAATGATGATGATAAAATGAAACACAGGTTATGTTTTTGAGATAAAAATGGGTTCAAAACTTTGTTAATTACTGCTAATAAACTATTGATAAATTATCATTAATTCATCTTATTTTTTATATAATATATATACTTATATAATAAAAAAAATCAGTTACCGATTTAAAGGTGAACAAAATAATTATAAATTCTGTCATATCGGGCGTCGAGCCAACGCAGCCTTTGTAAAGTGGGTACTGTTCACTAATTAAGGAAAAAAAAGAAACCTGGCGGTTGAGCGTGATGTCTGCAATATTACTTTCTTGGAAAACCAACACAACAATACAAAAAATAAAAAGTACTGAACCCAAGACCCTCTTCAGGGCTTTTAATGTTACATGTTATTGTTAACAAAATTTTTTTTTATTTATTTACATGATATTTACAACTGTATACAAAAAATACATCTGGTATATTCGCACATGGATATAAAGACATGAAACACATGTTGAGAAACTACCCATTGGTAGCACTCTAATAATATGTCTATATTAGGAGATCACGTGGCCTTCTTCTTTTCAGACGCCTCGGAGGATTATCAGGAATTGAATAGGAAGCAAGGTTAGAAACAAGAGGGTTGGGATGGTAATGAAGTTTATTAGGGAAGGACAGATATCTAGATTGGGTCAAATCTGATACATAAGGAACATTAAGGTCATTATGGATGATTTTATTTGTAACAAAGTAAGGAGCATTGAGGATTTTACGAAGGATTTTGGATTGTAAGGATTGGATGCAAGAGAAATTTGAAGGTTTGGTGGAGCCCCATAGCTCATTTAACAAAATTAAACATGTTTACATAATATTGTATTTTATTTACAGGGAATTAACATTTCTTTCTACTTTTACTAACACCTGCTGTCAAGTCTTGACATTTGCCCTTATCCAATGTCAAATGTCCGATTTTTCTTTTTCTTTTTTATTGAACACCGTGACTGCTTGGGGGGGGGGGAGGCTGAGCATACTTGGTGATAATATTAAGATTTTATTATAAAATTCCCGTTTTGTTTTTTATTCTGAACTTTGTGGACCACTTGCTGAACTTTTACAGTAACAGATATATATATAATGGACAAAATAAAATGGACATCATTCATCAATGTATTTATATATATATATTAAATATATGATAGGTTGTGTACAAGATTCATCGTACTCCTCTAATATAGCACACAGTAATAATTGGTCTAATATATTAAAGTTTAATTATAACTCCGTCTTTTCCTTATCGCTTTAGAACTCTGCCTTGCCGGTAAGGTTTTGCAGAAGTGGGGACCAACGCATGCGTTACAATCCACTGTTGCAATCAAACCATAGGCGCTTGACTTTCGATTTTGATTGATGGGGCGGTGGACCAGAAAAAATACAATAAAATGGGGGGAAGTTTACATTATGAGTAAAAATTAAACATAATTATTAGGAAATAAACAAATATAATATTGAATATTCAATTTGAAAAAGAAATTGATTTATATGTATTTAATATTTTTTTTTTTTTTGTATTTTAACAATGGTTAAAAAAAATATTGATTTCTTGGTTTGTACAACTTCAAAATAAAGAAAGTACACCATTTTTACAGAGCGATTAGTTTCGTAAAAATGTCCATAAAGAACAATCACTATAAAATATATTTATACTTATACTAATTAAATATATTTTTTCAATTTCGCCAGAGAAAATGTGATAAGAATATCACGTAAAAATTGACGGATACTTATGAGGGATGATTCAATTATAAAATCATAGGAAATGTTGATGTATATTTTATCTAGTAAAATTTAGGTCGTGATAAAAAAGTTACATACCTACTTCTAGGTCATGACCTAGACTGCAAGTCGACTTATCTTATTTACTTAATCGACTTGTTTACATATTTTATTCATTCATGAAGCTTTTTATCAGTATTTTTAATTTTTTTTTTTTACTTCAAATTATTGGAGGGAGGGGCAAAACGATATTCTCATTTTTTTTGGAGAGTGTGATTGCCTCCCTCCGAAGTCTACGCCTATAATCAAACCAATAAAAAATTTTTATCTAGCTATCCATATAGCTTGCTTTGTACCATATCAGCCTTTCAGTTAAAAAGACACAATTAATACTGATGCTAATCAGCAAGCACCCCTATATCTAACCTCTTAATCAGTTATACAGACCTCTTATTATCAAATTATTAACATTCATCTAAAACCTCGTCATTGAATACATTTATGGATATTTACGATAATTCTCGGAAATGGTGTGTTTTAGGTAAACTTTGCATATTTAATGAGGTACTCAAAAACTTAAGAACACCCATTTCCTTTCCACATGAATCGTAAGATAATTTGATGACAAAATCGAGAAAAAGGATGGGTGGCCTTTAAAAATATTGGGCCATTTAGCGTGACCTCAATTCCCAACATGTCATAATAACGATTTTGTCGTCAAATTATCTTACGATTCAAGTAGATAGTATTGATGAGTTTTAGCGCCTCATTAATTTGGTTAATTTAATGTGGAAACTCTTCATTTCAGGGTATTTTCGTAGATAAAAAAGTTCGTAGTTAAATCTTACGATGAGATCAACCCATTCACGAAGATCCAGACGCATGTTAATAATATGATAACAAGGGATACCGTGAACTATAACTTTTATTTATATGATCCTTTTCAGAAGAGTGAACCATCTATTAGCCCGAATCTCATAGTGATCATTTGGGGCTCCGGATTGAGGTGTACGGTGTAGGATCTCCCTGCAGCTTGATTAGGAATGGAATCCTTAGGGAGAGGGGTAAGTAAGGAGGGGGAAATAATTGACTGAGTATCTTGAACAAGGTCGTTCTTCTTATGGCAAAGAGAGTTAGCTAAATTTTCTATACCACTAACGTTGAAGATAGATTGGATATTAGTTATAACCTTATATAACCTTATATTATATTAGGTGAGCTCTTTTAGGTAATATTTAAAAGCAACAAAAATTATATCACATTCCTTCTATTTACACAAATTATATAATTTAATTCTATTATATTCCTCAATATTTTCCAACATTTTGTCGGTTTTCATCTTCATCTTCAGGAATATATATAATACTTTTTATTAATTTCGAAATCGACCAATATGCCGTTTTGCTCTTTCATTTTTCATTCATATACATCTATTATAGTTTTCTGTATTAAAATTTTTAAGGCTACTGTTTGGTTGGCCCAGGAATACCCCATACTATATAGTCCGCCTCAAAACAGGAAGAGAACCACTAAGCATGAAAATGATAAAAAAGATGACAACTTTATGGACCAAACTCGAGTTCATGCCAGAAGACCGACTCCCAAAACTCTGTTTTAATAGACTTAAATCATTAGACAATGATAAGCCTGACATACACTTCAATTGGGTGTCTATATATATATATATATATATATATATATATATATATATAAATTCAAGGTTGAGTTAATGAGGAGCTATTGTGTTCACCCTGAGGTACCCCACCTCCCCCCACGGCTTGGATTACCTGCCCTTGGTAAGATGATTCCTTCATGACTCAGTCCTTAAATAATAGAGTTTGTCTCCTCTTCTTTATTGTACATTATCTGTACATCTTATTTTAATAATTATTAACATATTTTATTTATTTTAGTCACTATTTGATTTATTCCGTTTATTAAATTAATTGCAGCATAAAAGAAATTGGAATTTTCGGATTTATTATTTTTATAATAAATAGATCTTTGTAATCGACATGGAAAAAAATCAGACCTTTCTTAAAATTTGATTCGGAAAATCGAGTAACAAAATATGGGAGAGCTACAAACACAAACAACCAAATCAGTTGCCAAGACTAGCTTGTGTTAAAACCAAAGGCCAATCATATGCCGAAAAAAAAAATGGTTCCAAATTTCAGCGGTTTCTGCCTCGTTGGCTTCAAGCCAGAGCGCCATGTCGGAATTTTAGTCACTTTATAATCATTATGAATATATATTCGTTTTACCCTCCCACCGATGAATATAAACAGGTGCATATACAAATATTAAAGTAGTACCCGTTTAAGAGTTAATAAACTACTTCCTGGCCACTTTGTTGAAGAATTAAATCGGTAAAATTTATTCCTAAATTAAAATTATATCCTTGAGTTGTTATTGGTTTTGATTATCAGTATGTGTTAATATCCTTAGAACAATTTTATTTTGTTTTCTTACTCTTTTAAAAAATTTAACGTGAACTCATATTAACGCTATGCTATAAGATCGATTTTTTTTTCTATTGTATTGAAGATCTTGTAGATATATATATATATATATTTTTTTTTATCTTAACCAGTCTTCTCTACAGTATGTCTGCCTTGGGCTATTTCTTTCCAGTTATCTGCATGCAGCTCTACGTCTTTGTTGATTCGATCTGTCGATATGGATTCAGGTCTCTATACTTACCAACTATAGAGGTATTCATTGTTATGTAGTGGCTTCCTGATGGATTCTCGAGCCACATGTCCCGCTCATCTTAACCTCCTTACCTTCATATCGTGGATATTGGTTTACGAGTTTCATTCCATCGGCGATTAATGCTTGTATGAGGAAATTTAATTGAATTTCATACAATATAGAAAAAAGTTGTTACTAAAAAACAGTTATCCAACAAAGACTTTTATTTATTTTTAATTATATATGTATATTTTTTTGTTATATATATATTTTTGTTATATTTTATGAATGAACTATTGTAGCTAATACTTCTGCCCTTCATGAGGCACATTGTATTATCATTCATAAAAATCAAAACAAAAAAAACATTTGATTCATTAGAGGTCACAAAATACAGGAGTATATATATATAATTTGGATGAAGAATGTCACAATGCGAAAAAGTGATTTTTTACAGTATTCAAATTGTTTTTATCTAGTTCAATCACTGTTCCTAGCCCACTTTAAATCATCAATTCGGACGTTGTGTTGATGAACTGTATTTTAATTTTTTTAATGTCACGTTTTAATTTTTTTTTAAAATAAAAGTTAACCTTAATTTTGTGTTAATTTAAATAGTGATGGTGAATTGTAGCGGTTTTTCTTTTAAAATAATAATAATAAATGAATTCTTATTGGTATAAATTTTAAAACTAAAAATCTGATTCCTATTCTTTAATAAATTTAGGTGAATAAAAGTCTCCTAAACTAAAAACAAAAAGAAGAAATGAAACTGAAAATTTTATATTATGGCACACTGCTTCCAAACGAACGAATATATAATATATATATATATATATATATATATATATATATATATATATATCAGACATTTAATTAACCTTCGTAGTCGTTCTGGAGATTATAAATCCGGTATAAATCCACCCCTTCTCTTCTTTGATGACTTTCAATACATTGTGGTAGTCCATGATTACCGAGAAAAATAAATCTGTAAATATGTTAGGAGCTAACTTTTATTCATACATTTAAATTATAAAGGAAACTAAATAGACTGTTTTTAGCTATTATTTGTTTCATAACATTATCCGTGTATATATAGCACCCCCTCTCCCTGTTATTATATATTTTCTGATATAGTACCTTGTTGAACTGGTCTCAGGGTTCGCTGATGTTGAAGAACCATGGTGAGACAAACCATGAGAAGCATGTGCAGCAATGGCTTCTGTTATTTGTACATGTGGCGATGTTACCTCCTCCCATCTGGACCAGTCCGAAATAGAATTAGTCGGAGTGTTTAGGGCGCCAGAACGGAGCTCGGGTCTGGAATTGTGAAGGGCAGTAACTGGAAGGAGGGTTAATAGTTAATTATCTAATAATATTTTAATTTGTTGTAATTTTATTATTTATTGAATATTAATACTATCTGCCACTCAAGGGCAATAAGCATTATAGCTAAAAGTATCCACTCATACAATATGGAATAGAATAGAAAATAAACTTTATTCTGGGACGATGTCCACTTAGAATAACAATAATGTACAGTTACAAAAGAAAACATACATATCTGGCCGAAAACTAACCTAATAAAGATACAAACAATATATACAACAGCTTAAATAATAGTATGTAAACAATTAAAAAAATAATAAAATCTGCCCAACTATACTTATAATTGTACTGGAAAAAATAACAAAAAGAAAAGGGGAAAAAAAAGCATTACATGTACAGAAAGAAACAGCAAAACCAACAGAAAAGAAAAAATATCAAAAGTACGTAAATAAAAAGTATTGACTTGTTATGTTAAAACCCAAACAGCTAAAACATACAAAATATATACATAGATTAAAAATATATTAATGACAGGATGAGCAACGGGATCACGATATTGCATTATCCTGGTATACGAGATATAAAATAACAATAAATAGGTAAATACAATTAGCACGAGGCTAAATTAATTAATTAATTTTATGAGAAAGCAATTGTGACAATAATAAACAAAAAATAAAATAATGGTGTATGAAAATAAATAATAAAAAAAAAAAAAAATTATCCTTATTACATAATACAAAATTAACCAGCATCTGTTTGGATTGTGAAGAGGAACTGGAATAAGAGGGTTTTGAATGTGGATAAGGATGGTGCATAGCGGATTTTATATATGTACATACAATATAAATATGTATGTAATTGCTCTCATGAAAAATAAATGAGAGTAATTAAGAACAAAATAAAACAAAGTGAATAAAGAAAATATAAAATAATAATGAGTAATAGTAAAGAAAGTATATTGATAAAAGTAAAAAAAATATATATGACTTCACAAATTAAAGGAGATATATAAATAGATAATGGTTACAAAAATTGTAGATAAAAAAAGTAAGTTAAAGGTAAATATAAAAATAAAATAGAAAATAAGAACATTAAATAATTAAAACTCATAATACTATAATTATCTTCCTTAATTTCCAAAGTTTAAATATTTTAGGGTATTTATTATTTATTTATTTGCTTTCGGAAAAAAATATGGTAGAGGAACTATTTCCCTACCACAACTGAATTTCTATTTATAAAATTACAGTAGTTGTAAATTGAGGTTATTTTTTTCATGTGATATTAAAATTATTATTATTATTATGTTGAACTTAACTTCATATTTTGCAATGTTTAAATGGGATTCTCAGTAATCCGTAATATTTGACAATATTACAAGTCGTTGGTACCATGTTTGTCTGATCATAAAGATTCTACTAGATTATGCGAATGAATTAAGACAAATTATGATATAATAACTTAGTTTTCTGGTAATTAAAAAAGCCATTTGTTACCAAGAAAAGCATTCATTTATAAACCAACGCAATATACAAATTTATATAATTTTCAAAAATAATCACGAGGCTCAATACCAAGAAAAATATTGGGTCGGACTCCCCCCCCCCCCTCTAATGACTCCTTCATAAATATTAGAAGGCCTCTCCTCATCATTCATGGAAGGGTAACATTACCCTAAGCGATGTTGTCCTTAGCTCTGGGGACCCGAACTATTTTTAGTTGGGACAGATTTTTAAGTGATTTCCTTCTGATGGGTTAGGTATGATTGATGTCTTCTCCCTCTCCTGTTTCCTCGATGTTTTTTTTTTTTTAAATAATTTAAAAACATTATGAGGTCGGTTAGAAAACTCATCTGCTTCAAAATTATTTTATAATTTAATCGAAAGTTTTCAGCAACAATATAGACCTTCAGAAAATGGAAACGATAACTAAAGAGTTTTTTTTTTTAATTTCTTAATGATATTTACAACTATATTAAAGAAATACATTTAGTAAATTTGAACATATGGATATAATGACGTGAAAACACTTGTTGAGAAACTGCCCAATGGTAGCACTCTAATGATATGTCTACATTAGATCACGGGGCCATCTTCTTTTCAGACGCCTCGAATAGTTATCAAGAAATCAAGGGGAACCAAGGTTAAAAACGAGAGGGTTGGGATGATTCTGAAGTTTATTTAGGAAGGATAGGTATCTGGATTGGACCAGATCTGAAACATAAGAAACATTAAGGTCATTATGGGTGGTTTTATTTGTAACAAAGTAGGGAGTATTGAGGATTTTACGAAGGATTTTGGATTGTAAGGATTGGGTACGAGAGGAATTCGATGGTTTAGTGGAGCTCCATAGCTCAACTCCGTAAGTCCACACAGGCTTTATTATAGTAGTGTATATGAGTCTTTTGTAATTAATTGGAAGTTTAGAGCGTTTGTCTAGTAAGTGCTGAAGTAATCGGAAACGTTTAGCGGTTCCTTGTCGTTTCAGTCTGGTATGAGGATTCCAAGTTAAGACGTTTGTCCAGGTGGAGTCTTAGGTGATAACTAAAGATAAGTATTAAGTGGTAATTTTTTGCTTAAAATGAAGGGGCGTATTTTACTAGGAATTCATGAAACTAGACAAGTAAGTTTTTTATAATTGATATCTAGGAATATTTAAAGGTGTTGTAGCAGTCAGGTTCCTACCAAAGCCAAACGAAACTCACGTATTTTTATCTCACATTGTTTCAAAACATTAGGAGATCTCACTATCATTTGAACCATTTAACTTAAAAATCGGTCAGGTCCTTCGTTCAATTGACAAAATACAAATATTTTATACAATGATTTGCCAGGGTTTTAGTATCAAATTGTTCAAATACTTAAAAGTTCTCAATGGAAAATTTAAGCCTGCAAATTAAAAAATCGATCCAGTCATTCGCTCAAAATATGGTTACAAATCTTTCGGTATTGATTACACACCTTTTATTCGATCACGGGTCAGTATTTTTAGCTCACGTTGTTTCGAAACACCCATGGTATATCTTCGTTTAATTTAAGATATCAAACTTGAAAATCAATCCTGCCGATCATTCAAAGATCACTCTAATTGTTTCGAAACACCATAACCCAAACACATAACTCTTGTATCGCTTTGCTTTGACAACATCCATGGGATCTTACTGAATAATTTGATCCATAAAACAAAAATCGATCAAGTCCTTCATTCGAAAAATCGTTACATACCTTTTAGTAAATAGATTAAACTCATCTTATTCTTTGATAATTTCAGCCAGCAAACCTAAAAATTCGTTCCAGCCGTCCATGAGGTTTACTGTCCTTAGTATTTTCCCCCCCCGATGATTTACTAATTGATGTGCTGATTATAGATCGACCGAGTGCGAACTCTTGCGGCACTAAGTTGAAACTAACTATTTGTTTTTTTCTCTAATTCTCCGACATTACTTACAAAATATTTCCTTACATATAATATAAATTTCTATGTTATATGATGTGTCCGGTAAGTTGTATACGTATTATTATAAAATATATAAGACATTTCATAAAATCTACCCAAAAAATGATCTAGGATCTATGAAACGGATGTACAATGCAAAACCCCTCCTTTCGATAATCTTTGATATTGCAAAAGTTAATCAATCAATTATTTTTGGATAAAATTTCTACAAAAAACTAGTCTTAAACTTTTTTTTAGACTTTTGAAATGAGGTTTACTGTCTATAGTATTTTCTGCCCCAATGATTTACTAATTGATATGCTGATTATAGAACGACCGAGTGCGAACTCTTGCGGCACCAAGTTGAAACTAACAATTTATTTTTCTCTAAGCCTCTAACATTACTTATAAAAAATTTCCTAAGATATAAATAAATTAGAGACCTTTTTTTATCGAATTCATGAATGACTTCATCTAATCATAACCAACAACTTTTTTATTTACGTTAAATTTTTGGAAATGGGTTATTTTTAAAGTTGAGATAGGTAAATTTTGTCTATTTAACGAAGCATTAAAACCTCATGATAGCCATTTGATTTCCAATTGAATCCTAAGGTAATTTGATCACAAAATCGAGAAGAAAAGGTGGCCTACAAAAATAAAAATAAAGGGAGAGGGTCGTTTGGGCGAGACCTCCTCCCCCAACATGTCAAAATAACGAGTTTATATAGAACAATCGGCCCAAATTTGTTATTGCCCACTTTTTCTCTCCAATTTCTGTACAAATTATCTTACGATTCAAGTGGAAGCAAATTCATAAGTTTTTAGTATTTTATTAAATTAATTAAGTTAATAAGAAAATTCAATCTTTCCGATAATTTTTCTGGATAAAAAAGGTGTGGGTTACCATACCATACCATACCATGAAACTATTCTTGAAGGTTTAGAAGGATGTACTAATTTGATTAATATAATCGATTTGCGTTTGTAAGGTGGGACTAGTATCGATGAGACGGTGAAACATTGTGTCATATAATTTTTAAAATTGATTGTGCCACTGTAACATTCTTTTATACAATTTACACGTCTTTCTGACAATTACAACGTGATAAATCAATTTTCTAAAATATTACAGTACCATCGTTGTATGAGGTATATATATATATATATATATATATATATATATATATATTTGTGAATATTTTCAAATTAACATCGGAGATTCAGAGAAAAAACAGAATGTAAGTTACAACTTAGTGCCGCACGAGTTAGCCATTGGACTGCCAACTGGTTGCGGTGGAACTCAATTTATTTATTTACTGTTATTTGAGACATTCCAGAATTAGTTTTTGTCTCTTTCAATTACAACTTTATAAAACACGCACCTCGAGGGTTAGGGGAAGGAGAAGTCGAGGGGTTGGAGCAACGTTTTAATAACTAACTTTTGTTTTGTTCTAAAATGAAAAAATATCTATCGACTTTAAGTTTAAATTATCGAATTTCGGCCTACATAGCTTGGCAAATCGGTAAACACCCCTGACGTAATTGGGATCCGCTATTGATCAATAAAACCAGGCTGAGGATGAGAACAACAAATCAGCTTCATTACCCAGTTTGTTCAGTGTGTTAATTATTACATCTCTACTGCTTACACTTGTACAAACAGTTTTCTTTCAACAAATCTCTTTCGGTTCAACACTAGGCAATTTCATAGGCATTTTTTTTTTTTTAATTTAATAAAGTTATATCCTCAATTACACTTTGTTTTCCAAACTGATTCTTCATGAACTTTTGACATTGTCTGATCCCGCTGTCTTTTAGAGATTGAGGGAGAATCTGCGATTTAATATGAAAGATTGTGATTTTTTTATTATAATTGGAATAATTCAAGCCACGTTTCGCTAATCCAGCCAACATTAGGAGACAAAAAGAACAAAAACCATGATCTCATGACATCCAAACACATGTAAAACTGTCCTTCATTTAAAATTGGATTTGACACCAAATCTGCCAAAAAGTTTTAACTATTGGGTTGGCAAATAAGTCATTTCGGTTTTTCTGGGTGAACGATCCTAATTCTTTTTGACTTTTCCAAAGTGTTTGATTCCGTTAATCATGAGATCCTTCTTTCCAAACTCCAAAGCCTGCCCATATCAAATAGTGTCCTAAAATGGTTCCTATCCTTCTTATCCAATCGATCTCAGACAGTTACAATACCGAATAAACCTCCATCATCATCACTTCAATTAACTCGAGGTGTTCCTCAGGGTTCCTCACTCTCCCCGACCCTTTTCTCCATCTATATCAGTGACCTTCCTAACGCCATTTAACACTCCAGTTACCACCTATATGCAAATGATTTCCAAATATACCAATCATTCCAATCTTCTGAGATGCCTAAGGCTGCCCGGAGGCTGCCTTTAATCTATTAAAGGATATATTTTTCGCTTTGATGCATCGTTTAGGAGTTATAGGTAAAAAAACAAAAAATATCCAAACAATCTGACTTTTTCGGCTGTAAAAAGTTTTCCCTTCGTGGCCCGCGTTAGCAATTTTGTTTTTTACATGTCTAAATCCATATATATACAAGTTGAAAAAATAAAAACTTTTCTCACATTTTTCGCAATGGATTGGCTCCAGTGGCTAAAAGGTATTGCCAATGGTCCTGCACGATAAAAAGGCTTTAAAAACAATGAAGAAATAATTTCTAATTATACTAATGTGGTTCTCTCTACATTTTTATTATTAATGAAGCTTTAATGCTAATTTGATCACTCAGTCAAAAACTCAACAGTGCTAAGTACTCCATCGAGATTTACCAGCAGTTTACTGCCGGCAGTAGCGGCGGAAGGGAACGACGGCGGCAGAGAGATGATATAGGAACCTGCGACATCTGGCCGAGGATTGATCCGCCGCAGTAATTATGAAACAATCTGGGGTTGGACTTTTTGCGGCACAGCTGGTTGAAGGGACGGCCTCTGCTTTTTGTCACCCCTGTCATCCATACTTGTCTATTAGCTTAATTGCCTTGTTCCCTGAGAACCTCTCTCTCAAGGTACGGTCCGGTGGCGATATTAAATCGTTCCTTCTTCATGACAAATCATAAATCTACACGGTACGGAAAATATTGCAATAAGTGGAATAGCCATTTTATCATATCCACACTTTATTCCAGCCAATTTGAAAAGAATCGCCACCTGTTAAAGATTTTAGACGAAACTTTGGTTAGCTAATGCCCAACTATCGTTTTAGTAGCTTGTGCTTCTTCACTTCTTCCCTTCAAAAATCACAATAAATTTATTAAACAATTGAAGTGATGCAGTGCAGTGAATAACATATTTCTGGTATCTCAACTTGAAAGAAATTTTAAAGGCTTCCATTTAGTTTTTATGGAAATCCCATTTAGTTTGCAAATTATTTTATTAATACTTTTCTAGAGTTGGTAAGTTCGGAATGAAGTGTTTTGAGCTCGTGATAATTTTGTGAGTTTGAGATAATAGTCACCTAGAGTGTAGGAGTTGATAGTTTGTTAATTCTGGAATGGCAACATAATATATATTTGCTGATAATTTTGTATGTGTATCTACAATTTGGTTTTATTTTATTCATTTATCTAAATGTTCTATGCCATTTGCACCTGCGCTGTAATGCATCTAGCAAATTTGATGTAATTGTTGCTGAGAATTTGCTTGATATGCCTTTATTTTGTTGTCATTATTGTTATTAGAGTAGGTCTTTAGGCCATTTTCATTTTAGTTTGCGTCGATCAGGTAACAGGGAGCAGGAAATAGAAAGTGGATTGAAGTGATTTTGAGTTGAAGAATGTTGACAATTTTTGGTAGAATTTTTGATTCTATAAATTTTTGATTATTTATTCTTGGATTCTTTTTGTCTATTGAATTTTTGATTCTATATAAAATTTTGTTTGTATTTTTACTTTTACTTACCTATACATGAAATATATAGTAAAGAAAAATATTGTGATCGTGAAAATTTTTGAATCTCAGTTTTCAACAGAAATACACGTTTTGAAGTCCCCTGAATCCAAATAACTAAGTCCCGCAAAATGGTCTGTGTGTGTGTGTGTGTGTATGTGTGTATACTGTGTGTGTATTTGTACCGCACCAAATTTTTTTTATTTGTGTTTGTTTTGCCGAATCCCAAAGTTCTGTATGTCCAAATTGTTCTCAGTATGGTGTTTTAGATAAATCGCTTGTTTCGTAAGTTCAATAAGGATGTTCAGAAGATGCGAAAGTTGGTTATATCGTCTATTTAATCTTGTATTTTTAATTGTGTATGTATATTCCAAGTAAGTCTTTTGTCTAAGTAGAGCCGAGGTACCGTATATATTCTTTTGAAGGCATTAGCACTCTTTCTTACGAGAGAAACGAATGTGGATTTGTTACTATTTATTTAAGTTTTCTATTTTCCAAACCACTTTTCAAGATCATTGAAGTGGTTTTGAAGGGCAATTGAAGCGATAGTAGGATTTTTTATATGAAGAAAGAATTTCTGAATTTGATTTAATCGTATAATTTTAAAAATCTTTCATCATTAAATTTAGTTGAAATTTGTTATCAAAAATTTTTATTTTGTTTTTTTTCTGCTCTTCTCACGACAGTGCCCCCTTTTCGGTATAAATCAACTGGAGTCTTCATACTGTTCTCCGGAATCCCAAGCAATCTGCAATAAATCCTTATCTAAGTATAACGTAATTATAATTATTTTAAATTTATATTTTTTTTTCTGTAATTTTATTTTCTTTGATTAGGATAAAAACTTGTTATTGCATAGCAGTACTTAAAATTTTGCAGAATCGTTCTAAACGATAAAATTGCAAATTTATAACTAATGTTAAGACCTAGGAGATAGCTGTAGAATGTGCTTTTGTTTCATTCAAGATATAAAAAAATAAATAAATAAATTCAGTTAGGAGGCTACTATACAGAAGGTGATCAATATATTACCAATACTGACAGTATTGCATTATCTAATGAATTGGCAGTAAATGGCGATAGGCTTGGAGGTGAACGCGATTACTTACCCTTAGATAGGGATGGCGGGGGGAGGGGAGGGTGCTGCTGCTGAGCGAAGGAGGGCTGATAGCTGGTGCTAACTTGATAACAGGGGATTTGGGGATTTGTCATTTCCTGATTGCCTTCTGTGTCCTGCCGTTCTTCAATGGCGGCGAATCAGGCTCATTGTTGGAAAGAGCGGATTCAGTTTGAACCCTTTTAATTCTAATCTGTTTGCCTTAAAACAATATTGCCAAATTAGCTGTGCTCTCTTAGAAAGTCAATTTTCAAAGATGTTGTTTGATTTTATTTTAGTCATATTAGATTACCGAATAAAGCATTAGATATTTTATTAGATAGGAGAATAGAAATTGAGGAAATAGGTAGGTAGAAAATAAATTTTATTCTGGGAAAGGTTAAGTTAAAAATGATAACTATTCACTAATAAAATAAAATCACATCCGACCAAAAACTCCATCAACAAAAATTCATACAATATATACACTATCTTTAGGAACTATGCATAAAATGAAAAATAAAAACGTTTTGAAAATAAAGATAATTTTAATGAAAAAAAAGAAGACATAAATCGAAAAAGAAAAAAAAAAGAATACAAACATTAATACCGACACTATTAATTCGAGAGATTTTTCAAGCAAGTAATCATTTTCAAAAAAAAAAAAATATATTTCAACAAATTTTAGTTTAATACTTTACAAACGACTACTAGCGGAATCAGGATTTATTTTGGGGGCAGGAGGGCTTCAGACCGAAATCTTTTATTTAAAAAAAAATAACGATAATTACTTTGGAAAAAAATAAAGAAACTAACTACCTATATGAAATGGTGTTTAAGTGATTCCTAAAGTCCTTTTAAATGTAATTACACGTGTATTAACAATAATACCTTAAGAGATAATTTTTTTCCATAAAACTGGTTATATTTTACCATTTAGGGAAAGAGAGGTGACTTCAGCCCCAAGCCCCCTTCCCTCCATAGATCCGCCCGTGCAAACGACTTAAAAATATTATCAATTAGTAATTGATAAAACCACTAGAACCCAACAAAAATTGTACATAAAATTAATATTTTAAATCAGAATACTTTTGATCCCTTGCTTTTACTTTGGCTATTAGAGTGAGCGTCTTTTTTACTTTCCTACCTTCACTAGGTTATCGGATCAAATTTCCGATATGCGGTTTTCAGCGAATCTATACATTTCAAAGCCCCCTGAGTCCGAAAAACACATTTTTAGCCATTGGTCTGTCTGTGCCAAGATTTTCTTAGAAACTAGTGAACCAATTTTGTTGCTTCTTTTTTTATTTTGTAGGGGTTTGACTAATACTGATACCTGCAACACAAATAGGGGGCTCTATGCGTAACAGCTGCTGCGCAATAAGTGAAAAACATGTTTTTCTATAGACTGTAATGCGAAAACGGCTCTAACGAATTTGATGAAACTTTTCTATAATGTTCTAATAATGACTAAGTGAAAATAAGTAAATCAGTTGCCAGCATCACAAAAGCTTCACTATTTCTACTTTTAACAGAAATTATTGTTTGACAAAATTAGGCAATGTCAAAAAGTTTTAGATCAGCAATATTAGAGGGTATTGAAATGTTTACACTGATTTAACTGAAGTCGGTTTGCATTGCTTTAGTTTATCAAATAAATCGTACTTGAATCTTTTCTTTGATCAATTTTCATGAAACTATATCTAATTCGTTTTCTTTTTGGTTTCTTGATTGACAAATGTAAAGATATAAAAACTTTTCTGAAATAGGCAGGAAAGTCGTGTGAGAGGACACACCAGATTGCGCTAACAAAAAAAAAAAAAAAAAAATGGTGGATTTCTTAATGATTTAATCGACTGACTAGCAATGAGAAATCTTTAATTATTAAAAAAAAAACTACATATATTTTTGAGGAAGCCATTTTTAATTAATTTCTAGCTGATAAAAACAGTATTTAACTGTACAGTGATACAACTAGTGTTGTCCAAATGCGGGACCGAGACGAGTCTTGGTCTTCAAACTCAGTCTTGGTCATGGTCTTGGTCTTGCACAAGAGTCTCGCAACAGTATTGCAGTTTCTTATTAGCTAATCACTATAGAGATATTACAGTAATTTTTGAGATAGGAGGAACCTAACTAAGCTCGAATAGAAAATTACAGGAGTTAAATGCAAAAAGATATTGCTCATACTAATTATTAACATACAGTAACTAAGATTATCAAGTATTAGTAACTTTTTTGCCTTAATTTTTATTTTTTTAATAAAATCGACTAATTAATTTTTATAAAATCGACTTTTTTTACCAGTCCTGGTCTTGGTCTTGCAACAGTTAAGCGGCCTTGGTCTTGGTCTGGCAAAGTGCAAGACTGAGACTGATTTTGGGCAACACTAGATACAACAATTTTAATATATATAGTTAAAGCCGTTTTCGAGAGTATTTAAAAAAAAATGCAAAATCGATTATACAAAGTGGCAATTCAAGTTAGTTGATTTTAACGAAACACCATCTTTCCGTCTTTCTATCTAATTTCAATAATTACGACTTCTTGTGTTTGGGCTAGGCTCTTCACATATATACCGTTTGATCATATGGACTTGATTAATTGGATTCATGTTACCTTAAAGTGTGCATTTTCTTTCAAAAAATAGATTCGACATTTTTCATTATTGCAACACTTATTATTATATGTGTACCAAAGCTGAGTCAACCAGAGTATTCAGACGGTTACATTCTGCCGAATTGTGGTACTCGGACTTACTATTTATAACTTAGTTGATTGCTGGAATAAAATTGCTGAGTAACTTTTAGGAATGAGTAAGCATGTAATTGCTTCAAGGCATTAAGCAGCAAACCTATGGTTAGACGTTCTAGGTGTCTATGGACTCCTAGGTGAGATAATTTAGTTTCGTCTGATCTTAAAGATTTGAGTATTTATGGAGTTTACTCAGAGAAATCTTTTTGGTCTTCTTATCGAACCTCCTGCTAGGCTAAGCCTTTTATTATTTTATATTCAAAGCTGTTTAAACTTGAAATTACGTCTCAGTTTTCCATGGTAATCCCATAAGGTCCGAAGACACACGGCTGTAAGTGGTAGGGACACTAACACGACAGTAAACACAGCTGTACCAAAAGCAAATATTGGAGGAACCCTTTGGGTGCCATGTCGGGGCCACATGTCCATGCTCTGAGGGTTAGGGGAGGTTCTTCATGATAACGATATTAAGTAACATGTACTTACTGTATTTTATTTTGGAAAAATAAAAATCAGATATATAATATATTTTTAAACAATAAGTGTTTGTTAAAACGTTTTTGTGAAAATTCGAAAATTTTCCATAACACCTTCTCCACCTGGAAGAACCTCCATCGCATTAGCCACTTTCTTCTTCTCCAAATCCATAGACCAGTTTATTTTCTTTGCTTAATGTTTCTTCCATTTGATATCTAATTGTTGTATTGTACGAGCAGAACAAATTGAAGTAGGGCAGTACGAGTGGTGCACATCTCATTTTATTTCGAGGCTAGAATGAACTGATTAAATCGTTTTTTGAAATTTTTCTTTCCTTAATTAGGAATGATTCTATCTCAAAGTTTTATGCAAAGTCAAGACGAAGTTCTCTTATTTAAGTATTTTATATTTTTTACTTTTCTTTTCCAACTTTTATCCTTTTAACTTTTTTTATCCATACTCATTCCTAACTTGTCAGCAGATATAGTTTTAGTCCATATTTTTTTGACATGGAGGTATATTCCTGTCTCCTTTCGTTATTCTTAAATTAGAGATGAGCTGCTAATTTGTATTTTTTTCCTTCTTCACTTAGTAACCATATGACAAACAATCGTGTAGAGCAATATTTGTATCGATTTATCGCCGTTTCTTTATATTTCATCCCACCAAATTTTGACTTCCAGAAGAGGGTTTCAGGGCACAACTTGAGCTATCAAAATTTTTGAGAGGGAGCACATTTTGATTTTGATGGGGTTTTGAATTTTCGGAATAAAAAGTTTCAGACCAGAGGACAAGGTAAAACATCGAATGGACCGAAGCAAGTGTAATTGAATTTGATCTGCTATTATTAAATAAGAATTAACGTAAGCATAGAGTATTAATACCAAATGCCCTTGATTGTGGTAGATAGTATTGTTGCTATTCAAATAAATCTATCTTTTAGTCCCTATTATTAAAATTCTACTTTGGCTTACACTGTTTTTAAGAAGACAATCAGAAAATATCTTCGGAGTGGGAGTAATTAAGGTTTTTACGCCATCTTCCTGAAGGGGAGAGGAGGGGGGGGACTCTTGTTCTGGTGAGACACAATATTCACATAGAAGATACAATATTTCTACTGTTAACAAATTTTCAACGGGGAGGGGGTGAGAGGGGAGGGGAGAGAGCTGAAGGAGAATTTTGAGAGGCACAATCTCAAAATTCTCCTGCGAGAAGAACTGATCAAGTGTGCTTAAAATTGTAGAAAACTGAAGAAAATTAAAGAAAATAATCCGGAAGGATTCTATTGAGGATTTGAGCCGGTGGAGGTTGACGACTCCGATATTTAGCGTCTTCAGAAAACACTCCCTCCCCCCTCGGTTATTCTAGGCTACAAGCGCCATGAATCCTCGAGGGTTTCAAAATTCCTCACGGTGCATAGTTGTTTGAGTTGAGTTCAAGCTACACAGCCTAGCCCAGAATATAAATCCCTCAATGTCCCACTATTAATTGAGCATGTGGTCTCGGCCTGCAGTGCATACGATGGATTAAGTGTCTCAATGATATGAACTGGATTGACGCTCCCAAACCCGAAACTGGAATTGACGTCCTTGCTGAGGAGGAGTTTCCTCGATTGATGAGTGAGGAGAACTTCTTGTGGCTCAAGGATTTTATTAATGGATAGAAGAATTCCGGATTCCGAAAGCGCGCCATAAGAATTTGAATATAACTTTGGAGAAGAAAATAATGTGAATAACATAACCTGTTAATCTTGCTGAAGTGGTATTGCGCAGTCATGCGTAACATCGCACTTCAGCAAACACCCATATTGCCAACAAAGCGGAGGATGGTGCAAAATAATATAAACTAAATATATTTCAACTGTTATCCATTCTTGTTGAAAATT